TACTTTGTTGAACAGTTAAATTTGTGGGTCACCTTTACTTTACCTGCCTCGTTTTCAAATTCTCCATGGGGAATTTCAAGCACAAGGGGACCAAATGCATCTTATAAACATTGTCATAAATGCTTAATCTAATATCACATGGTTTTGAATGAGTATATAACAGTATGTGCTCAAATGAATTATTAACTCCTTTGAAAGTCTGTTTTAAAGTATCTGGTTTATATATAATTGAGGATTTTAGGTGGAAATCATCCCTAAATCAGGAAATTAGGAAGGTCTGCTGAGTTTTTCAAGAATTCTCAAATACCCAACAAATTATTATACTGGGTAAATCCACAGAAGTCCACAATATAAATCTGATGGATAAAATAATATACATATCTCATTTTTCAAACTTGTCAGCTTTGCTATTTTCAAATCACAACACTTTCAGAAATCTTATAGATCCCTGTGTAGAGCATTTATACATGTATTTAAAAATTGTTTTAATCAAACTGTTTACATCAAAACAAAGGGGTCTTGCACATTTATTCTTACTGTCGTGTATAATAACTGTACAAGGTCTTCGCCCTTAAGGTAGACACAATTCATTATAATCTTTGTAAGATGAATTCTTATATTACTAACAGAGAATTCAAGGTATAAACATTCAAGATTCAATTTTAAAAGTATAGGCCATTGTATTTTTCCCTGAGGAGGAGTATTCTTTTAACTGAAAATAATCAGTAAAAATTATCAGTTTTCAAGGAGAAAATGTTGATCACTTTCAGACTTAAATTAAAATTAGATATCCTTCTTTTTTTCTTGATATTTCACATAAATGTGCAAAAACAGGTTGACTTGAAGTGATAAACTCTTAATTATCTCCCCTTAATTAAACACTACTATGTCTAAATTTTCTCAACATAAAAATCAAATCACATATATTTGATTCATAAACAAGGTAATTGTTCTAATGCATTAAAAAAAAATAAAGCAAATTCAAAAAAGAATATATAGTGTTTTTAAAAATTTCATTTTTAACTGATGAAAATGATAATGTCTCCATTTTTGCAAGTACGTGTAGCATATACCAATATGATCATCTATATAATTGCTCAGTTGTTGCTTATCTTATTTAATGTACATTTACAACTTCATTACTTTCTGTAGTTAACAGCTACAAAGTACAAAGGTCAAAAGTTCTTCTGGAAAGTTTATTATCCATATTTTTATATCGAGAGAAGACATGTTCTACACCAATAAAGGAACATGAGTGCACACGCTGAAATGTCTTGCCTTCTTTACTAACCATTGATTTTATGTTGATAGTCCTAAATATAAAGCTTTACTACAAGTAACACATAAACTTAACATGATCCAAGAAAATGAGGTCAAGGTCAGATATACCAAACAAGAAATACATGTACACCTTACAATCATTCAATAAACCAAACATAGTTGACCTATTGCTTACAGATCTAAGAAACAGTCTTAACCAAGAAAACTCAACATTGACCAATGAACCATGAAAATGAGGTCAAGGTCAGATGAACCATGCCAGACAGACATGTACACCTTACAATCAATTTATGCATTAAATATAGTTGACCTATTGCTTATAGTATCTAAGAAACAAACTTAACCAGGAAAACTTAACATTGACCAATGAACCATGAAAATGAGGTCAAGGTCAGATGATACCTGCCAGACAGACATATACACCTTACAATCCTTCCATACAACATATATAGTTGATCTACTGCTTATAGTTGAAGAAAAACAGGCCAAAACACAAAAACTTAACACTGAGAAATGAACCGTAAAAATGTGGTCAAGGTCAAATAAAATCTGTGAGACTGACATGTACATCATAAAATATTTCCATACACCAAATATAGTTGACCTATTGCATATAGTATTAGAAAAAAAGACCAAAACTCAAAAACTTAACTTTGACCAATGAACCATGAAAATGAGGTCAAGGTCAGATGACACCTACTAGTTGGAAACGTACACCTTACAATCATTCCATATACCAAATATAGTAGACCTACTGCTTATAGTATCTGATATATGGACTTGACCACGAAAACTTAACCTTGTTCACTGATCCATGAAATGAGGTCGAGGTCAAATGAAAATTGTCTGATGGGCATGAGGACCTTGCAAGGTACGCACATACTAAATATAGTTATCATATTACTCACTATAAGAAAGAAATTAACATTACAAATAATGTCACTGAACCATGAAAATGAGGTCAAGGACAATGAACATATGACTGACTGAAACTTCTTAACATAAGGCATTTATATACAAAGTATGAAGCATCCAGGTCTTCTAGCTTCTAAAACATAAAGCTTTTAAGAAGTTATCACTATCCCTATGTCGAGCTTTCTGCGACAAAAGTTGCAGGCTCAACAAAAATGACATGTTATTAATTGTTAATAATGTATATATATACTAGAACACACCCTCGAAATCGCGGGCATTTAGAGCTTGGTTGAAAGTATGTAAACTGTAGTAGGATGAATTTTTGTAAAAGATTACATGCAGAGGCGGATTTAGAGGGTTTTTCAGGGGGCTCGGACCACCCCCCCCCTCCTTGTGGGAAAAATTTGTTGATTATATAGGGAATCAATGATGCATGACTGGAGCGGGACCCCTCTTAGGAAGTCAGTGCAACCCCCCCCCCCCCCCCCCCCTCAGTGCAGTGAGGTGAACTTATGGGTTTTCCCCGACCCTGCACACTTTAAGCAATTTGAAATAAGAAAAAGATGTGTATGCCCCCCCATCCTTATGAAAATTTTTTGATCCGCCAGTTATGTCTGGACAATTTCAGAAAAGGTATCAAAAATCATAGGTACTTGGAGACAGGACAATATTTTTAAGCCCTCCCTCTTTTTTCCAAAGTCCGTTATTTTTTTTTTTTTCTGTTGAATTCCAATATTTTCGCGTTTCTGTATACTATGAACATACGTGTATTATAAAGTGTATGTGATATTAACTATCAATTTCAAGTTTCTTCTCCACGGCGATCACTGCTATAATCTATAGAGAGTCTCTATATATTATAGTAGTATAATCATAGTATACATGCAGATAAACGCGAAAATGATTGTCCTGTCCCCGAGGACTTATGAAAATTATTTGCAAGTTTAAAACCGGAAGTCTTGTCTATGACTTAAAAATCGGTCTGATGACTGAAACAATATCCGGAAGTCTTTATTTTCGTTTTTCTCCCCAAATAACCCAAACTGAATAATCATAAGAATGGATGACAAATGCGACTATGCAAGGTACCTATAGGACACAGAGGCATGATGATTTATTTATTGTGGACATGGTGGAAGGAAGAGAAGCGACACACAAAATGAGGTCTTCTCTTTTAATAGTATAGATATATCTATTTTGAAGTGGAAAATAAAGAATACAGCAGCAGAAAGACCACTACAACTGGAAATCTCAGACACCCAAGGGTTAAGATTTCATTGTCTAGAATTCTCGGCATGCAGTGTTGGAGTCTTTATTGTAACTGTCCAATGTTCAAAGGGATGATCAAATATGTTCACAAGAGTGCACACACTGAAATGTCTCGCCTTCTTTACTAATCACTGATATTATGTTGATAGTCCTAAATATAAAGTTTTATTACAACTGTCACATAAACTTAACATTAACCAAGAAAACTAAACATTGACCAATGAACCATGAAAATGAGGTCAAGGTCAGATGAACCATGCTAGGCAGGCATGTACAGCTAACAATTCTTCCATACAACAAATATAGTTGACCTATTGCTAATAGTTTAAGAAAAACGGACCAAAACACAAAAACTTAACACTGAGCAATGAACTGTGAAAATGAGGTCAAGGTCAAATAAAACCTGCGCGACTGACATATAGATCATAAAATATTTCCATACACCAAATATAGTTGACCTATTGCATATAGTCTTAGAAAAAAAGACCAAAACTAAAAATCTTAACTTTGACCACTGAACCATGAAAATGAGGTCAAGGTCAAATGACACCTGCCAGTTGGACATGTACACCTTACAGTCCTTCCATACACCGAATATACTAGACCTATTGCTTATAGTATCTGAGATATGGACTTGACCACCAAAACTTAACCTTGTTCACTGATCCATAAAATGAGGTCGAGGTCAAGTGAAAACTGTCTGACGGGCATGAGGACCTTGCAAGGTACGCACATACCAAATTTAGTTATCCTACTACTTATTATAAGAGAGAATTTAACATTACAATACATGTTAACTTTTTTTTCAAGTAGTCACTGAACCATGAAAATGAGGTCAAGGACATTGGACATGTGACTGACGGAAACTTCGTAACATGAGGCATCCATATACAAAGTATGAAGCATCCAGGTCTTCCACCTTCTAAAATATAAAGCTTTTAAGAAGTAAGCTAACGCCGCCGCCGCCGCCAGATCACTATCCCTATGTCGAGCTTTCGGCGACAGAGTCGCAGGCTCGACAAAAAACCACCAGAAAGAGTCCTGAGAAGGCAATTATCTTATTTGAGCTTTGAATATAAAGTTTTCTTCCATTACAATGTCATACATAGATATAAGAAGATGTGGTATGAGTGCCAATGAGACAACTCTCCATCCAAGTCACAATTTGTAAAAGTAAATTTGTATTCAAACATGTCAGAACAAAAGCCTGACAATGTGTAAACACAAACAAGAAGAATAAATGCTCAAAAAAGTAATCAGTCTCATGTAGAATGATATAGATTAGAAAGAGCCTGGCGTTGATCATAAGGAGATAAAAAAAAACCTATGGAATTCTTAAAGAATAATTTCATGTGGTCATTACAATGATGTGAAGTAAAACATCGAGGCCAGTTTCAGTGTCTAACTCAGTTATACTTTAAATGACTATGTGGATGAAAAATCAGTATCAATTTAAACTTTCTGTCTCATATTTTTTTTTAATGACTTATTGACATGACCTTATTAAAATCATAAATGCAAAACTTATTTCCTACCTGAATCTGCACTGAAATGTTATTAAATTCCAATCTTCTCTTCAATTCTTCCATCTTCAGTTATTTCCCTTATTCACACTGTGTAAAACTGAAAATGTAGAAGTTAAAAATAGAATAGGAAAACACCTCACTGGATTGTCTCTTATGCTCTTCAAACTGTAATGAAAGTTTATGTTCTATTATCTATGACATAAATTTTATAACATAACTAAATTTTGTCATTATTTTAAGTGAGTTTTAAAAGGTACAATGTATTTTAAGTTATCTCTCTTTCATAATTTAGTGTCAAATGACAGAAATTTGCATTTTAGATTCCCCCTTAAAAAAATATGAAAAACAAAAATATGTGTCCATTATGGGGACACCATGCCTCACTTGCACTATCACATTTCCATGTTAAGTGAACAACAAAATCTATGTCAAAACCATAATTTGGCATATAATAAACAATTCACTTCATATGGAACATGTGTTCTACATTTCATGTTGATATTACCACAAACTTATTTAAACCAAAACTTTAACGTGAAACGCACTATCACATTTCCTTGGTCAGTGAACCACCAAATCTGGGTCAAAACCCTTATTTGGCATATAAATTAAACAGTTCACTTCATAAAGAAGATGTGTACTATGTTTCATGTTGATGTGACCTGAAACTACCTTGAACTAAAACTTTTATGGATATGGGACTAACAGACAGACAGAGGGACACCGAACGAGAAAACACAATGCCCTTCTACTATCATAGATGGGGCATAAAAAACAAACAAATTTAGCACAGTATCAACTAGGATACAAATTCAAGTGAAAACTAAATCTTATAATACTGATGTCCCTTGAAAAATGTTTGTCACAGTGTTTCAAAAGTTTCTGAAAGAGTATTTCAATTGGTGGAGGAAGCCTGAGAGCCCTGAGGGAATCACAGACCTTCCACAGGAAAACTGACAATTCTTGTCAATTAAGATCGTAGTCACGCACAACTGCCACCTCAGGGTTTGAACTCACAACCTCAGTGTTGACAGGCTAGTGATACAGTAGTTGAAACTACTTAGACCACTCGGTCACTGAGGCCCCAGAAGAGCACTGAACTTAAATAAGAGATCTGCAGTAGTAAAATATTACTGATACTTTACTGTATACATATGTTTCTGAGAAATGAACCTGAATAAAAATTCAAATAAATGTAGACTTGATGCAGTTACCAATAAATGAACATAATAACGAACAGGTGAATGGCAGCATATCAATCAATGACAAAAAAAGAACATATCCTTAAACTTTCTTAAAATATTCACCATTTATACCTGAAGGCTACAATTATAAATAAAAATTCTGAGGACTAAATTTTGAGAAATTAAAAGTGAAAAAAAAATGAATCTTTTCCCACTTTTTACATTGACTGTGTGGACAATGAAGTTTCTATTCAGTAATCTGAGAAAACCTCAATAAGATTTAATCAAAATTTTAAATCAATTTGCTTAATGAATAGATCTATTGTTACAAATAGCTAGATATGTTCATTTACTATTGACGTATTCTTCTTAAACTTGGATTAACAATATTTTTTTTCTTCCAAAAGATCCCACCAATGTGTAAATTTCATTGTTTGCAGTTTTTACATGTGTTCCAAAAAAAAACTTTGGGTTGACCCTTGTGTTTCATATTCACTGCATGTTTGCCTGTACACGTTAACTTATTCTGAATTTTTTCATTAACAAATTTTTGTAAATGTGATGCAACTCTTCATAAGCCTTTTAATATATATCATGAGCTATTTTAAGCATACCCTAAGAAAATAAATTACAGAAATATTTGTTTCATTAATTAAAATATTTAAAACAAATAATTACAACTAAAAAATTCTTTTAGTTGAGAATAACAGCTAAAAATATTTTAAAATAATAACAATTCTTTGATAATTGTCCTCCCACTGACTTGCAAGTTTAAAATCTGTATGTATATTACATTATGCAGCTTGCCAATATATAAAGTTGTGGTAAAAAAGTTTAAAATACTAATCCGTTAAAAATGTTTATAATGCAAAGTCAATCCTTTTATTTTTGCATATGTAAGCATTATCAGAGATTCTACAGATATGAACTATAAATGAAATATATGCAATACATGAATCACATTCTCTTGAAGTTTTCTTTTATAATTAATGAAAATAACTATTTCTGTGGCTTAATCTAAACTTTTATTTGTTTAAGAAAATAGGGTTACTCTTCCTAGCACCTGACACATCTCTTGAGTCCGACATTTCAAGTTATTTCTTAATAAAAAAAAGCCATATTGTGATCTTTGTTCTATACATTTTCTTCTTGCTACAAAATGCTCAAATGTGACATTAAAGTTTATAGAATGTAAAAAGTTCTACAATTTATGATATAGATTTATTAATAATAGTAAAACTGGCTCTCTAATCCATCAATTATAGCCTCAAAATAGATTCATTCTGTTGTTGATAAATCTGAGGATTATCAAACTATAGTACATACTAAAAGGAACTTAAGATAACCTTTTATACCTCCAAACATGTACAGCATTTCCAAAGTAATTTTATGCCAAAAAATATAAAAGTAAAACTGAAATTTTTATGATTACTGGTACTTTTTTACCAAAAGAGTTTAATAAATTATCTTTTTATTAATTCATTATCTGAAGCTTGAGCTAAAGAAACCTTCATTTAATCAATTATTGGAAATATTCAGTTTTTTCCTTTTTTGTGCAACATTAATTGTGTAGTATTGCACTGTACATTTTATAAAGTATTTTTAAAAACCAAATAACATTTTAAGCATGTAATTCAATCATTGATTTTATAGTTTTAAAGTACATTTTGTTGTTAAAATTTCATTATCATTTTTGAAAATATCCAATTTACAAGTACAAACAAATCAAAGATAATTTAAGGAATGTAACACTTTTTGATTTCACATGTGTTTTCATGCCTATTATAAATAATTTTATATTGAATATATTCCGTGGATATATATGTTATTTTTGTCTATTAATAGAAGACGCGTTAATGGAATTATGTACAGACTTGCAGATCTGTTCATTCATGACCATTTAACTACATTTAGCACCTTGTAAATAAACGTGTAAAGTCTTGTTTCATTTTCTCGCTCGAAATTTCATTCGGAAAAAACTCTTCATTCATTTAAATGAAAAAATCAAAAAGTTTCCGAATGATTACCTTCAAAGTGAAACCACTTTTTAAAACTGTGATAAATGCAATCAAAATATTTTAGAAATTTTTAAATGTTAATAATTGTATGTCTTTAGAAATAAGAACATTTTAGAACACCGTTATACATTTTTTGACGAAAAAAATTATCCGATACAAGTAACAATCTATCGACCAATCAGAAAGATGTTGTGTAGAAAATGAACCAATGAAAACGCAGCGGTTCATTTGAATTAGCCCGCAGAGAATTTCAATGGAAAACGTCAGTATGCTATGAAAATAGGCAAGGAGTAACATTGGTCAAAGTTGCAGTTTTTTCATAGCTGATGCAAAAAATATAATACGTTTTACAAGATAAAATGGCTTTGACTACAAGAGCACAATCGGTAAGTGAAAAGTGGTCTAATTTATGCAATTTCGCGTTAAGAATATATCGTCCAAATGCTGCGAAACAAACTCGGACATGTTTTGACGACCCAAGTAGGTAAATTTATTTAATGAAACGGACATTATTTCAGGAAAAATAAAGTAAAGCATTTATAAATACAACATTTTGCATATAAGTTATTGTTTATTTAGCTCAAAAACGATGAAATTTGTCCAAAATTTGTAAATAAAACAAAATTCGTATCCGTCACGGTTGGCAGGAATAAACTTGTCCATGACATTTTTTTTGCATAAACCAGTATGGACCTTTGTTTTTTCTCATGGTACATTGTTTGCTCAACCTTGGATTTACAAATCACCAGCTTTCTTGCACCACGTGCATGTTCAATTTTTTTTCATAAATGGAGGTTGACCATCCCCCTTTTCTTTGTACACATGATATAAAATTTGTATGTAACCCCATAATTTTTGGGAGTTTTTGCAGGCTATTCTCTGAAAAAACTTTATAATTATAAAGTTTAAACAAACCTTTAAATAATACACCTTATCGCTAATCCCGCTTGACCCGAGAATCTGTCCCGCTCGAACTTTTGACGTCATACAACAATCACTTTTCCATTGTGGCGTCAAACATTTGGTATTATGACGTCAAAATTTTACGGGAACCTGTGTGATGTCCAGTAATGGCGGACAAATAGCGATAAGGTGTATACATGTACATGTGTTCCTGCTAACATTTTTTAGGCCTTGCTAGAACTGAAGACTTAACATAATAATAACATTAATTCAATTCGACTTTCAACCTTTTCTGAACACTGAGAATGCACACAGCAAGTTATATTTTGTGTGTAATGCTATATGAAGTTGTTACATGTACCTTAAAATAATGAAAATATCGCTATTTACCAGAAATGCTAAACCCAAAAATTCAAAAGACGGGGATATTTAGATACATATAGAGCTATCTGAGCTAAATGTCCAACAGGGACCTAAAAAAATACCCAACCCATATAATTATAAATTCAGCCAAAATCAACTTTGCCTGAGGGAGGTGGAACCTGTGCTTCTTAGTAATTTATCATCTAGGGGAAAAAAAATATTACATAGCTATCCAAAAAAAAATCTAGAAGACCATATGTTTCTTGTATATTTAGGGAGTAAACAGTTTTCAAAACCATATTTCTGGACATACTTAAGAAAACACACTTCAAAAAGTTTTTAAAAACAATTTGCAGCTAAAACATTTTGAACAATATTAATTTACATATATGAAAAATAATAAATGCTAATGAGCATTTTGGTTAGGTTTGTTGAATTATGTTGTTTTTTTATTGAATAAAAGTATTTTTACAAGAAATTGTACAGGTTAAAAAATAAGATGGTGTGGTATGATTGCCAATGTCAATGAGAAGAGACCACCAGAGACCAAATGACATAGAATGGTAGAAGTTAAGGATTAGGCAATTAAAACTTGGCACAAAAAAAGTAGCTGAATGATTATTTGTGACCTGATTTACATGTGAAGAATAAAAATTTATAGTTGTTAGCAATAATATACATGCTTATTGAAAATTTGGTTTGTTACATGATCTTTTCACCTGTCCTCCCAGGACCTAAGGCAACACATTTATAATATAAACAGCAAATAGAAAAAGGGAATTAAAACAAGTTAGATTTATAGTGCCCTCAAGGTCATGAAATATAACTTGAATAGTAAATTGCTTGTTAGTTAGAATGAAATACATTGGTATCTCTCATTAGGAAATCTGTTGGTTTAAACAATATTTTATTCAAAAATCAAATCATGATAATGTATATATGTATAAAGATAATACATTATAAACAATTGGATCCAAAAACAAGTTATAAATATGTCATCTTTTTCTGTACATGTATATTAATTTTTCAATAATCCCACTGAAATCTTTTTTAGTTTTATATGTACATTATTGTCATTCCAGGCAAACATTATGAGTCAAACTCACAAAATGCCACTTAACAGAGAGAATCCAGATGCTGCATTATTAGCCAAAACAATGGCAGGTCGACCTACTTCACAGACAGGCCAAAGGTCAGCTCTTGGTGACATTGGAAACAAGGTCAAAGCAATATCAATTGACCCAAACAGGAAACCAGCAGCAATTAAGAAAGAAATAATCCAGCCAGCTGACAAATTAAAGGTGCTAAATAAAAACAAAGGAACTACGTCACTCAAATCTCTAGTCGAAACAGTTTCTGTAAGTATTATTTATGTACATGTAATTCCATACATGTTATACAAATGAAATGACAAGTCTACAACAAAGATTACCATATGAATAGCTGATAGTAAATGCAAAATAATACCATTACCAGATATAATAGATAAGGCAATACTGTACAAATATTTAATTGGAACACCAGAACTGCGATGAAAGCAACATATATAAGTCTTGACAAAAAAAATGAAAAGACAAAAACTGACATAATTTGAATTTTATCAAAGTTTAACAGAAAGTTTTCACATTTGACCAGCGTATTTGCATGTTTAATATTTAATATGTTCAATAACTACAATTTAAAAGAATGATTTTGCATGTTCACCTTTATTTGACAGAACAATGAAATACAGTTAGAACAGATCAGTCAATTTTCGAAACCTGTCTCCAGTGCCAGACCTCCTTCTACATCTGTCCCAGAATGTATGGACATAAGTGCCAATAAAGAAGAGGCATTCTCAAAGGCTCTCTCAAGAGTGGAAGATATTGATGTTAATGACAAAGACAACCCACAACTCGTTAGTGAATATGTTAATGAGATATATGACTATATGAGAGAATTGGAGGTATGCAAGCCATTGTAAAGCATTTATCTTATTTTAGAATTTATAATGTGATGAAAACCTGTAAGAAACATTTAACATGTTTAAAATTGAGACAAAAAAAGATGGGAGATGTTTATCCCTTTCAATATATTTAGCTATTTCAAAGATCCCCAAAAGTGTTGGTCTTGTACCAGAGGAAAATTTGGTTGAACAAGTAAAATGTCTTATATGATGGATGGAATTTAATCCTGTCCAATGTTTCAGTAATAACATGATCAAGGCAGTTACAGGAAATTACTAGAAAAATCTCTTTAAATTTTTTTTATTTACAATATAAATGCGTTTTACATTTTATTTCGACTCTCACTGATGATGATTTAAGCATGGATGTCAAATTACATATGACTGATCTGTGGGGTTAAGTAAACCAGTGTTCTCCCCAGGCCCTTAAAGGACCGCGGGCCTGCAATGTATAATTTTTTACCGTGGTTCTATCTGTCTTACCACGATGTATAATTTTTGTCCGTGGTGCTAAAATTTTCAGTTAAAAAATAGTAAATCGGTAAAGTTTTAAACGACTTGTTAAATCTTTTCTGTGCTGTATAAAATTCCAGGTGAATTTTGTCAAACCAGATAATTTTATGATCACAAAAAACTACGGCCCCAGCATGCCTGGCAAAACAGCCCTGGCCACCAGAGTAATCTCGGGACTAATATCACATGACCCAGTTAATTCAAGTAGAAAATTCGTTTATTTACAATTAATTGCAATCTATTTTATAAATAAAATGCACGACTGTACCTTCAAACTGAATATCTATATCCAAAATTAATGAAAGAAATAAACAATATCCATAAGCACATGTTGAAATCTATTTATATCTACTTCCTGTCATTTAGGTGGGAACATAGGGAGACTTTGTTGTTGACATTGAATATGGTTACTTATAGATCTATACTACTATAGACCTTAGATAGATTAAGGAATTCTTTTTAAATGGATCATGTCAAATAAAGATTAAGGTTTTAGTGCAGTATTTAGTCTGTATCTATGTATGGTCATCACCAAAGACAAAAAAGTTTTAATATTTACATGAAATTTATATTTATGGCAAAATGTTAAAAAAGTTTATGAAATTTTTTTTTTATTAGAATTTAAGATAGAAACTGGTTCAAACAATAAAACAATATTAGTTCTTGTAAATTCTATGTCTCCTTAAGACAGGAATCCTTTTATATACAAAAATTTTCAATCTAGAAACTAGAAAGTTGTTTAAATTGAACTCTTAAATGATATTTTATATTGATCATGGATTTTATAAAAGATTTAATTACTATAATTATTTAGTAATGAATCATGTTTTATTTATTTTAAAAAGATATTCAAGTATACAAACTGTTTATTGATTTACTTCTCTTTTACCAATAATTTTCTGACTCAATGTCTACATAACCCAGTACCACAGTATTAAAACAAAACAAAAGACATAAAAACAACAGTAACTAGAAATATAGGTAAGCGACACAACATGACACGACACATTATACAAATCACTTTACCAAGAGCATGTGTTACCCTGGTGCTATCCAAAAATCCTGGGGAGAACACTTGAGTAAACAACTATAACATTAAATGATAAGTTTTTATCATATTAGAGCGGGTATACAATCAACTGAACATTTTGATGGTCGTGAAGTTGTAGTGGAATGTATTCTTTATTGCGATTTCAGGATAAATATCCAGTGAAGCATGGTTATTTAGAAGGACAAGAAATTACTGGCAAAATGAGATCCATATTAATAGACTGGTTATGTCAAGTACACCACAGATTTCACTTACTACAGGAAACACTCTACCTTACAGTAGCCATTATAGACAGGTTTTTACAGGTAATTATTTTGAAACTTACAATAAGGATATTTTTTTTCATGACAGTGGGAATGCTTCGAAAAACAAGAAGAAATAACAAAAGATCTACGATTGAAAATGGTGTGCACATGCACACAAGTATGAGTAGCAAAAAGATCGCATGCTTCTTTTCCATATTATAAAAAGATTTCCGTTTAATATTTTGCCTCTTCATATTTAAGTATTTCACTTATACAAATGTTGTACATGTATACATTCTAGAGAGAGGATTTTCTTTGATAGTTTTGATATTGTTTCAACATGCTTGTTACTGAAACAAAATGATTTTAAAAAAGACAATGAATTGTAGAGGGAAGAGAAATTATTCTCAATGTATGAGATGATAGAAATATCCCCTATTAAATAAACTTACAATATAAGAAAATAAAACACATTTCTTTCATTTCAGGAACATCCGGTATCTAGAAATAAATTACAATTAGTTGGTGTAACATCAATGTTAATAGCATCTAAATATGAAGAAATGTATGCACCTGAAGTAGCTGACTTTGTGTATATAACAGACAATGCTTATACTAAGAAAGAGATTCGTGACATGGAAGGAATTATATTACGCTCATTAGACTTTAGTGTTGGAAAACCTCTTTGTTTACATTTCTTGAGGAGGAATTCTAAAGCTGGACAGGTAAACAGAATATTCTTGAATCTGTTGAAATTTTTCGCAAGAACCAAGCTTGTATACATTAACTGTTTTTTTTTTTCCAGTGCAATTTCACAAGCACTTTTGTTTGGACTAGGAGGAAATTTCTACGGCTAAGCATCTCATGTATATGTTGAGGGGTAAAACCTATATTCATATATATCTCGCATTAATTCTCCTACAGTATTCAACGTACTCAATTAATATGACTTGTTAAGCTTTATATGCCTATGATTCACACAACTTTTGAAAAACAACTTGAAAAAAATAAATCTAGACAATTGAAGTTGGCATTGAACTTAACTTCAAGGTCACAACATAAAAGAAAAACTTCTATTGTTATTGATTCAATTGTAACTGGGGTAATAACTGATGAATATTTGATATTGATTACAGGTTGATGCAAACAAACATACCCTTGCCAAATATCTAATGGAGCTGACCATTATCGAGTATGACATGGTGCAGGTGTATCCGTCCGAAATAGCTTCATCAGCCTTATGTTTAGCTAACAGATTACTTGATGGTAGTAAATGGGTAAGTTTTGGTTAAAACAGATCTACATCTGCCAGAATATTTTTAAAATTATCTACATGCATATAAATGGTCAATTTAATTTGTTTGTTTCAATTGTGTACAGTAACTACACTTGAACTTGTATGATGTAAATGTCTATTTGTGACTTATGACATTTCTGATTTACAGAATGAAAAAAAATATATCTAGCTTCAGAAAATTGTTCCTAAAATTGAAACTCATAAAATAACATTCTTGGACATGCAAGATACGAATATATGCTAGCCAAAATGACTTGCTCAATTGTGAGATCTTTGTTATTTAACATTAGCCAATGCATTGAAAAAAGAGACTTAAAAATTGTGTAAGTTAAGGACAATTAGTATTGTAATGAGTCTGAGTTGGTCCTTATAAATATTTTTTCATATTTCAGAATGACACATTAGCCCATTATAGTAGTTATGAAGAAACTGAATTAGTCCACACAATGCAAAAATTAGCCAGTCTAGTCGTAAAAGCAGAAAACAGTAAACTTACAGTAAGTTTTTTTAAAGGAACAACTTCAAGCACAGAATTGACTGTATTGTGAAAAAGAAAGGATAAGGGTTGTGTATCAATACTCAATAGTCTCATAAATTTTCCTTTGATCTTTGTGATAATTTTCAATCTTGAGCTACTCTACTGAGACAGGTTTTTTTCTCAGAAGAGTGAGACTTGGTTGACATCATAACCTAACATCATTGATATTGCCTTGGAAAATAAGTAGATTATCTATGGTCTTTCATATTCTATGAAGTTTCTCAGTGATCATCCTTAACTGAAATTGTACCCTGTAACACTCATTTGTAGATCCTTGGGTAATCTATAATTAGAATTTTGAAAAGTTGTCCTGTGAGGTCAGGTTTTTTTCTTAGCAATTTTAATTTAATGTATTATTTTGTTAAGATTCTACATGACAAATAAGAAAATTAATAGATATTTGAGAATTTTCTGAAGTTGCAGTTTATGAAGATTTAAACTGATTTTGTTTTGATATTTTAAGTTATCCAGTGAAGGCAAAATTTAAAGGTGTAAACTCCGCCTACTCATTCACTACCAAAACTGGATTTAGCTTAAGGAGACAAGTTTCAGTGAGAGGTTGAGTTTACATAAACTCTGAAAAGTAACCCTTATTACTTTGCATAATATTAAGTGCATTTCATGAACACTTACAAAAATGGTTTGCCTGTGTAGGAATTCATACTTGTGTGATATGAAAAGTGATAACTTTTGAAAACCACAATGTTACCCAATGGATCTTTTAGAATACCACAGTATTGCCCAATCAATAACATATAACTGGAATTATTTAGTAATACAGTGTGTGACATTTTATTTTGTATTGATTAATTCCTGCCACTAGATGTAAATAAATTTAATTTTCATTACAGGCTGTAAAAACAAAATATTCCAGTTCCAAATTCATGAAAATTAGCACCATTCCAGAATTGAAATCTCAACAGATCAAAGATCTTGCAGCAGCAGCAGCATTACAGAATGTCTCATGATCAAAATGAACAATTGTTTTTAAATGGTGGCACTGTGTGAATGAAAGCATGAGTGAATGCACGTCCTAACTTATTGCCTTAAAAAAGGAATGTGGTGTTTGGTTGTGGTAATGAATGTGAGCGAGAGACTACAAGATGTGTCGATCAGTGACCCAAATCATGCTCCTGTGATTTTTAAAATAGCAATTCTAGAACTATCTTTATTTTAAATAGAAGCCCAATTGTATGTTATGTCAAAAATGGATCATGAAGTTTAAAGTTTAATTTTTATCTTTTTTATTTTTTTATATTTATACATAACTAGAGGAATTTATATAGATTTTGTACATGGGGTTTATTATCAGAAAGGAAATCATCTTTATAAAATGCAGAATTTTTTCTTGAAAGTGTTTGATTTTGAACTAACCATGACATATTTTTAACATTCATCAAAGGTAATAGAACTCTTGGTTGTTTCGTTGACATTACCAGAATTTTATCTTTTTAAGTTTTTAAATTTTGAGTTTAGAATTTAGTGTAGTTGAGGGTAATTTTATATAAGTCACCATACATAAATTCATGGGGGTCATAATCAATATCAGGTTATCATTTCAGTATTCACAAAAATGGATTTAAAATTATAAAATATGTTTCTTTTTTTATTAGGGTTGTTAAGTATTTATCTAGAAATTTTTTTTCCCCAGTCTTAATTTGTAAAAAAATAATTTTACATTGACACATATGTCATAAACCTAGTCTGAGGGAGGGAGCTTTTTATTTTACCTTTGTTCCAAATAATTGATTTGACATCATGATATTTAGGTTTAAAATATATTATGATATTAGGGAATTGCTTTAAAGAGAAGTCTTTCATATTCTTGTCGTCATCTGGTGTTGCATTTATTACATGTGTAGTATTGTTTTTATTTATGTATTTGTCTCATGTATTTATGTATATAAAATATTTTGTAATAAATCAAGTGTATGGTTTTTTATTGGTCTACAAAAAAAATGAGATATAAGGGTATACTGTTGCATTGATAGTTATCAAAAAGTAAATATTGGATGATTCAATACAAACGTGCATGTAATCCAGTGAAGGCAACTTCAATTTGCATCAAAGATTGGGTCTGGAGTGTTAAATGTATGCAGATTTTTTATTAATGTTAAGCATGGTGGCTTTTTTTTTTTAAGTGCCTTCCCTGGGTACCATGTATGCTTTGATTGAACAACCCTCACATAGGTGCAGCTATTTTAAAATGAATAATCCCCTCATACATTTTCTGAGATGTGATTGATATGGATTCTGTATTTTATTCCTGTCTTGCATATGATGAATTTTTAATAGGATCTTTTTATAATTCAAATGAAGGTTCCCACTCATTAAACCAATGAGTAAACCAATTTTGAGCTAAACAGCTTATAACAAACTGAACAATAAATTTATCAAGTAATTTTCAAACTATCCACTGTACATGTTGATGTCAGTACAAGAACCAACAACTATTTGTATAAAGCTTTATATTTCCGATTGTAGAATACCTGGTTGCTTGCAGATACCTTATATTACGAAATTTCCATCACATGTCTATTGTCCTTCACCTCATTTTCATGTCAGATCGAGTTACTGCTTGAATAAAAAATTGATTGTTTTGTAATGGGATTTTCTCACTTATGAGTAATAGGAAAACTATTTGGTAGATGGATTCCTTGCAACGTCGACATGTCTATCATACAGGGTTGACATTACCTCAACCTCATTTCATGAATCGGTCATCAAGTTTAAAAGTTTGGTGTATGGAATGATTAAGTTGTACATGTCCCACTGACAGGTTTCATCTGATCATGACCTAAATTTCATGGTATATTGAATAATATTTAGGTTTTGTGGTTTGGTTTATCTTGACCTTGACCATAACCATCATTCTTATTCAATATGATTTAAAAAAAATAGCAGACATTTCAGCATGTTCACTTTTACTATTCAGGAGTTGTGGTTCTTGATAGATTGGAAAATAGGCATAGAACATGGCAGGTCAAACAAGCCTGTAAGCCCCTTCAAAATACAGAAAAATTGACAGCTCATTTCTTGGTTAGAAAACATCCCAAGGCCACTACTGGGTATTCAACACAGCCAGAAAATCCTTCACCCAGAGGTGGGCTTCAGCTGTTCTGTAAACAATGTATACTAGTTCAGCTAAAATGGATATCACACTGAAATCACAAAATTAAAAAAACATACACGACTAACAAAGGTCAGAGGTTCCTTACTTAGGACAGGTGCAATAATGCGGCAGGGTTAAACATGTCAGATCTCAACCCTCCCCTAATACCTCTTGCCAATGTGGAACAAACAAACACACAGTTAAACTCGATTTAAGAGTTTAAAGTCTGTTAGAATAGGGAACAGAAAAAACTAAGCAAAATAACTTCTTAATGCAATATTGAAGTGAGTGCAACTCCTAAACAGCCAAATGGACATTGATGAAACTATTTTAAAACCCTGAGGATGTTCATAAAGGAATACAATCCAAAGAGGAGATGAACTTGCATCAATATTGCAATATATGGTAAAAGTCTCTCATAAGTGAAACTCCAAAACAGCTAATGAGGATATTAATAAAACTTTACATAGTTTTAGTACTACCTGAAGATATGCATTCCCTCTCCTACATGTTAAAAGGGACATTGTCTCCTAGAAGACTGTAATAAATATTTCGCTTGGTTTCCATTTTGGAAAGTTTTTAGATATACTAACAGTATTCAGGGACAGTGAGTATCCCTTTGTTTGCTCACTCAAATTATTTCCTAACAATATTAGATGTTGACACTTGGCTAAAGCATCTTTTGAACCAATTTGTTTTTTATGGAATAATATAATGTCATAGAAAATTTTGTGAATAAAAAAAACCATGATAAAGGTTCAGTCAACTTATTGAGAACACTAAAGAAGGGGTTAAACAACAGGAACTGTCATCGGTCACCTATTTTGATTTCACAATAGGCTTAGACAGTTTGTATAAAAAGATATGTTGCTTGATCATACAGCATTTAAAATTACACCCCAGTTCTATTGTTATACTCCTTAGTTTCTATTTCTGAAACAAGTGTAAATTGAATAGATCTATTTTTACGAATAACAATGGATTTTGACCACAGGGTGTGACGAGCGGGGTTTCTGGAAACCCCTGCTTCTACATCCCGCAAACAAAGTCCATTGTTATTCGTAACAAAAGAAATTGATTATTTTTTAAATAGCATGAACATAAGAAAGTACTAATAGTGTTCACTACAAAATATGGAATACAAAAATAATCCTTTAAATACTCTTTTGCTTGAAGGTACTTTTTTTTTTATCCCAGTCATATGTCTCTATTCTAAAGCATTGATCTTTCAAAAAATGGGGATTAAAACTCCCGGACCCCCACCCCCGGTTACCCAGTGGCCGATCAGGGGTTGGGGTTTCCGCGGGTTGAACCCGACTTTTATTTAAAAGATCAATGCATTTGAATGGTTGGACCCCCCCCCCCCCCTTTTTTTCTCTTGAGTTGGGAACCCCCGGCTGGATCAGCCCCTGATTGTCCCAAAAAGGGAGTTCCTCTATCTATATTAAATATTTTATGTTGAGCGTGTCTGGTAGTCGGGTTTCTAATGCAGACACACCTATCCCTTAGTATGTTCGAATATGAATGTTTGTTTATTCTCGAGAAGAAGGGGGGGGGTTTGTTTTTGATAAAATCGTAAGATATAAAATACAGTTATGATTACCTTTATTAAACTGATACAGGTAACTACTTTGGGTAATAGTATTGCCTTTATCTTTAGTCTCTTCTACCAGATCCAACACTTGCCACAAAATGTCGTCCGTCTTATACCCGTCCATATTGACAACTGTATACCAGGAGCATGATGTATGTTTTGTTTGTAATAAGAATACACGAAACAGTCAACCTTGACCTGCTGATCCATATTACTACATGGATTTAACGGGAATATGCAAAACAACTTTGACATTTGTAAAATATACTCACTTGTCAAAGTTTGAACGAAGATAACCAAAGAAAGGTTACTAGTGGGGTTTCGTGTAATAAAAAAAATATTTTTATAAATCATGGTTTGATATTGTCAATAAATATGCTATCGTTTTTTTTTTTCATTTAATAATCAATGTTAACAAATATAGAGTTTAGAATGGGGTGTAAGTTAGTTATACACCTCGGGATACGGCGTGTCTGGATAAGAAACCCCTCCGGCCGACGGGGTTTCTTATCCAGACTCACCTATCCCTCGGTGTATAACTATTACAGAATCTTCAGAATCAAGATTCAAATTGCCATTTAAGATGGAGGTTTATTCATTCATAAAAATGGTTTAACCCCACCATATTTTGGGCCTGTATCAAGTCAGGCTATCTTGACTGTTGTTTGTTGTTGTTTTAATATATACATGTATAATAAAAGAACAGAGTTCCAATGTCCCCCGCGTTGCACATATTTTATATTTCCAAGGGGCAGATGTTGCTGATATTAACCTATAGTATAAGTTATATAAAAATTGGCAAGAATTGTACCTGTGAGAGTGCTAACAAGACCAGAAGGACGGACACAGACGGATGCCTGGTATTTCCATGTCCCCCACAACGCGTGACGCGGGGGACAAAAATAAGGAGATGTGGTATGATTGCCAATGGAACAACTATCCACCAAAGTTCAAATGAAGTGGATGTAAGCATTTATAGGCAACGGTACGGCTTCAACAATGAGAAAAACCCATACCATATGTTTGTTTGTAGGAGAGTTGGGTATTGGGGATTAATGTGGTCTGTTTTTTTTTGTCTAGTATTTTTGGGTGATTCCAGTTAACTTTTAAATAACAGAAAAACAAAGGATATGGGGTATATATCCATAACACAAAATCAGTACATGCACAGCCAAAAACAAACAAAAAGCAAAGGAACAGCACTTTTATTGCTGTTCTTCATCTCAAAGTCACAGTGAGGCCTTCAACACGGAGTAAAAAAACTCTCAACTCACTGCAAGTTTAAAACGGCCCCTAGAACCAGCTTGAGCTGAATTCTTTGCAAAAATAATTTGGATAGACCTTGTAAGATGTAACTTTTTTAAAACCTTGAGAACTCTGTGTAATGCTGTGACTGTAAATATATTGTACCAAGAAATACTGACTTATTTACAATGTATAAAAAAATTTTTATAGCATCAAATCATTTCAAGTTGCAACTTTTGCTGCTAAGACATTAGTTTCCTGATGTAGAATTTTTAGAAACAAGAATGTTCAAATTGTTTCTACATTTGTGCAAAACACCCTCTAGAAAAGTTGAAAGAAATCTGCCTACACATTCATGATTTAGGATGTTAACAACAGTAAAATACACAGTTGACAAGTGTTTCACAAAATGTCGTACAACATACGACCAGTAACACTACAATATACTACTGTTCGTAAATTATATGACTTTGTGTAACCTGCAGACCAGAATACCATTATGCATAGAAATTATTCAAACTGATACTATTGACAAATCAGGAAAATAGTTCTTATGTGCTTGTAAATACAGGTATCAATTTCAGTGCAAACAGCATGGTTTTTTTTCTTGATTGTACACTTCAGAGAGCAGTTGAAACCAAAATAATGAAACATTTTGCAGATCAAAACCAAATAGCACAGCCAAAACTGTCTGCGATCAAAGTGGCCTGAGTAAGTCGTAAATCTTGATTTTAGCACAAATATAATTTTAATCCACAGATTATTAGTATTTGACAAAAGATGATAGACAAATCTTGCATATCACAGTACAGTTCTCAAAAATATGTTTCTGTAATCACAATGTTTTCTTTATACAAAACTCTGCCATCACAGTTTATTTTTTTCATACAAAAGTCTTCCCTCACACTTTTTTCATACTAATGCCTGCCATTACAATTAATTATCCCTCACAATATTTTCTACAAAAGTCTTCCCTCAAAATTTATTTCAACAAAATTCTGCCGTCACAATTTATATTTTATACAAATGATTGCCATCACAATATATTTTTTTTATAAATGTCTTCCCTCACAATATTTTTCTACAAAAGACTACCATCATTTAAAATAAAAAAGTCTATCTAAGTTTGTAATGTATATCTGGTAGTTTTCTAAGTTTCTCTGCTGCCTAAAAAAGAAAAAAACTGATATGTAATACTGTTTTAAAACAAATGACTATGATTTATAGAGATACAACCCAGTGCAGCAATTAACTGGGAAATTTATATTCTTATACAATGTAGATTTCCACCTGTTATACAAATTATAGCAGCTATGTTAAGGATGTCTATTTCACAGTGACCTTTATTGACTGAAGCTTAGAGAGCATTGAACTATATTTTGGAAAAGTTATTGATTTCTCTTTTGGTAATAGAAAAACAAGGATATGGGGTATCCATCCATGACATAAAATCAGTACATGCACAGCATGACCTTTACAATAATTTGAATTTTTGTAAAATTTATTGATATTTTTTCATACATATTAGAAATGCACAATTTAAATGCAGAAACATTGACAGTGAATAATTTCTCAGTGTTATTAAAAAGGCAAATTTTGTTTTGATTTTTACATTTGTCATTGTAATGTCAAGTTTTAATTTTTTTTTCAATGGATTTTTTCTTGGTTTTAATGCTGTTGGACATATCTTTAAAAATAAATAGAAAATGTGTCAGTGGGACACAATATGATGCCCTCGCTTGCATATAACATTATAAAGGGACATAACTCAAGACATACATGTGATGGACTGTGAAATTCAGATCAGGAGATTTGGAAATTTTGGTCAGGAGATTAGGACTCAGATCAGGTTTTTTATCGACATAAATTTTGTCGTAAATGTAACCGTATGATGTAGAAATTGTCTTTTAAATGTTTTTTCTTCAACCTTCCATCCGAATGTAATGTGTTTATAGTACCTTTGTAGCCTTTCTATCCGAATGATATCACATTGCAGAAGGAAATATTGAGAAATATAGATTCCACCATTGTAACAAGTGTGTTACGATATTTCCCCACTCGAGACAGTTAGATTTTAATATTTAAAGCGTGAGGCTTGCCGAGCTTTTTAAATAATTAAAATTTAACTGTTGAAAGTGGATAAATATTGTAATACACGAGTTTTAGTGGTGGAATCTGTTTTTCTAATGATTTCTATCCTTCCTTTTCAAAGATTTGAAGAAAATTGTGTACTTTTTATGTGACGTCATCAGGCATGGTCGCCTTATTTCATGACGTCACAATTAAATTTCGACCAATCATTTGCCGAGAACAGATATTTCACTAGTGAGGAGAAATATTTTTCTTACACCGATCAAGAAATGTGAAAGTAGCAAAAAAATTAGAGAAGAATCTTTCTCTAATTTTGTCACTATTTTCACATTTCCCAACCAATTGTGAAAAAAATGTTCTCCTCACCAGTGAAATATCTGTTCTCGGCAAATTATTGGTCGAAATTTAATTATGACGTTAAATTTTCTTGGTTTCTTCTGAATTCCAGATTGTGACAAATAAAGAACACAACTTTCTGCAAATCTTTGAAAAGGAAGGATAAAAATCATTAGAGAAACAGATTCCACCACTATAACTCGTGTATTACGATATTTCTCCACTCTCAACAGTTAAATTTTAATATTCCAAGAGCTCAATAAGCTTTGTGCTTTAAATATTAAAATTTTAACTGTCTCGAGTGGAGAAATATCGTAACACACTTGTTGCAATGGTGGAATCTATATGTTTCTTGCTTTGTTTTTGATAATTGCTTGTAAATATAGCGCTATGACCTTTTCTTTGTGTATAGATTTGTATTCATGTCTCCATCTCCTTTTATTTGTATTCAATATCATTGGTATAGATAAATAAGAAAGAAATATGCTATACATTTATAACATAAATAAATGGAAAAAAATAACAAACAATAACAATAGTAATGCAAGGTTTTTAAGCATTAAGAAAGTCCTTTTCTAGAAAACTAAAGACTCAAACAGTGTAAAGTATTTTACTATTTTTAGCTAAATCACTGTCTATATAGATCTATATACCATTGAAATATATTATTTAATTACTGAATCACTGGTCTTTGACACTTGGCCATGTAAGACTAAAAAGTACAACTGTACAAGTTGACGTGGCTGCTTTCAATAAACTTGACTCTACAATATATATATAAAGTAATCCTGATCCTGGTAACAGTTTGTTTATTTTTGATACTCAGGATGCTGTGAATTGTCTTTGAGTCAATGTTTTCTGCTGTCAGTTTGGATCTTGTTGAGCATGATGAAAATCCTTTAATGTAAGCATTGGAGTGCGAAATAGGCATTTTTTTTTAATGAGTTGAAAGTTAATTAAATCAGGTTGTTGTCTCTTTGACACATTCCCCATTTCCATTCTCAATTTGAAATGTTTTTTTTCGGCTTCAAAACCTTCCAATATTGGCAATAATGTTTTGACAACAACATTCCACTTTTCTATCATCAGCTGATCATTGCCGGTATTTCCCTTTAATCATCCTTTGCATGTGCCATAGACAGAAGCCATATTAATATTCTATCACCTGAGCTGACACCTGTTTATTATGCAATCAAACTATTATCACTTGTTACATGTAATTAACCGTTGGCCTTGTCAAATCTACACATGTTGTGTACAGGTAATGTCAGTTACACCGGATATGTTCGGTACTCTCGGGTTTTTTTGTTTTCATTAACAAACATTTGTAATCATCGTAGTAAAAAAAATGGCGCCTGAAAATTTTAATTCATGAAATATTTTATACACAGGATTTTTTTCTCTTCAACAGGAGGACGGGAGGAGGCCCCTGAAAACGGGATTATTGTACTCCCGTCGGGAGATTTACATGTATGACAAGAACAGTTATAGTGACGCCACCCAAAATTCGAACTTGATCTGAGTTTTGTGGTAATAAGCATTGTGTACAAGTTTCATTACATTTGGTTAAGTTAGAGATAGGAAACCAATTTCGGGACGTACAGACGTACAGACAGACAAGTATAACACTTAATACCCCCTCCGCTACGGAAGGGGCATAAAAGTAATAGTTTCCTCAATATTTTTTTACATTACCTGTTCAGCTGTAAGATCCCGCTGAGGTTGTGCCAACATTTCATACCCAACCATAAATTTCTTTACTGTTGCAGACCTCAATAAAGGGGGATAATACATGGCATGTAACTGCCAATGTTGATTGTCATCTTTCAATCGTGGTCCTGTTGGGGCACCTAAAAACACATTCAGTAAATAATTATAATTGTATTACATATCTGAAGAATCATTTCCAAAGCAAGCAAATCATATAAGTGGCAATTCATCAATATCAGAATTTCGATTATCACACACTTAGAAAACAATGCATTCATAACATATCATATACTTGCAGAGCTTTATAGTTAAAACATTTCAAGGCCTTGGTAGTCTCTTTAACCATATGCTTTCCTGGTGTGCTAGAGGTCATGGGTCTTATTTGCCTTTTGTCAAACCAAAGATATTAAAATTTGTATTCAATGCTTCTCTACTCAACATATTGCATTGACAAGTAGAAGCAAGGACTGGTTGGTGTGGAGTTAGAAAAATCTGGACTAACACAAAGAAGGTTATCTTCATGGACTAGTACAAAGTTATCTTCATGAACTAGTACATAGGTGATATTTCCCATTAGTATGTTATGAATATGTTGAATGTTAAGCAGCCATCAATCAATCATGAATAAAAAAGTGATACATCAAATGCATAAAATTTGGCATAGAAATTGGTATCAGGATGTTAAATAGCGAAACTAACATCTATGAGTACTGTCTAATATAAGCAGTAACATTTCTGAGTACTGTTTAACATTAGGAAAAAACATTTCTGTGTACAGTTTTACATTCAGCAAGAACATTTCTTCCTGGTCAATAGTCTTTCTTCAAAATGAATTTTATTTGAAATTTATTCTGAATGACTCAGACATATGTCAGTAAGAGGTGATTCATATCTGTTAATATTTTAAATAATTTATACTAAAAAAAAATGGAGTAACAATTAACATGCAAAAAGTTACAGTTTTGGCCCATTGGTATCCATGTTTTAAAAAGAATTTGACTACAACCCCTGCATACATTCTAAAGCTTGTTTTAGTGGCATATATGATTTTATTCTACTGCATGTTAATATTGATAGTGAAATCAACATTTGATTTAGTTGAGACTATCCTACTTGACATTGAACGAAATTCATATTCCCCTCTGAGTATCATATTTCTCTCTGAACATCAGGACTACCTCGTGCAAAAATGCACACAGTTATATAAATGAACATAATGCAGTGAATGATATCTTAAAATAGCGATAGTTTAGTGGTTATCATATTCAAAATTATTTTAGATGTAAAAAACAAAACAGAAAATAAATTGCTTCGCCGAGCGCAGCTAGATACGACCGCAGAGGTCCAACCCTGAACAGTTGGGGCAAAAATGGACACAATATTCGCGCTTGATACAGGTCTGAATTTGGATTGTAATTAAATATTTGACACATAATAGGTTTCTGACACAGAATAACTGTAGTCAAAGAACTTAGAATTGGTTATATGATTTGAATTTATATTCAATTTTTTGCTTTTGTGCAATACACTATGCTGTTGCGAAATTGACCCCCCCCCCCCCCCCCCCCCCAAAAAAAAAAATTAAAAAAAAAAAATTGACCCCCCCCTTTTTTTTTTGCTTTTGAGCAATACACTACGCTGTTGCAAATTGAACCCCCCCCCCCCAAATTTTTTTTTTACCCCCCCCCCCCCTTTTTTTGCAAAAAAAATTAATATTTGAAGAAATTTTCTTTTTAATTTCTGAAATCTGAAATGAGAAAAAATTGTACCCCTCACAATTTCTTTTTTACCCCCCCCCCCAATTTTTTTTTCACCTCCCCCCCCCCCCCCTTTTCCAAAAAAAATAATTCTTTCCCTCAAGATATGGTCATAATCTCAATTCAAATTTCCAATGGAGTTTGCAAACATAATTACCCATTTAAATACATCATAAAAGTCTTAAAATAGAAAATGAAATACATTTTTAAAACATGGCTAAAATTAATATTCCTTAATCAACACTTTTAAATAGTAACTTCTAAAAATAAATTGACAGCTAATCACCTCAAGACAATACAACATTTCTTTATACATAATTTAAAAGCAGTGTAAGGGAGGTAATCCAAACATAACATTGTACTTTTTTTTAATTGTCCATTAACCAGGAAACCCTGGTTTTTCCCCCTTTTTTGCCCCTAATTCCTAAACGTTTTGAGCCATAACCCCCCGAAGCCAATCCTAACCATCCCTTTGTGGTATGGAAACTTGTGGTATAATTTCAGAGAGATCCATACACCATTCCACAAGTTATTGTCTGGAAACTAGAAAAATGCTTATTTGGGTCCTAATTCCTAAACTGTTAGGACAATAACCCCCAAAATCAATCCCAACCTTCCTTTTGTGGATATAAACCTTGTGTTTAAATTTCATAGATTTCTATTTACATTTACTAAAGTTATTGTCCGGAAACCAAATGTCTTTGGACAACACCAACGACGACGAAGTGATACCAATATACGACCTCAAAATTTTTTGCGGTCTTTTAAAAACTTGTCATAGAATAAATAATTAACTTTTGATAGGTACTGTTTATAAATGTTTATGTTGTGTTTAGTTATAAAAGCAAGCAAATAAGAAAAAAATGTATGTAAAAAATAAACAAATAAGTATAGGCAGGGGAATAAAAAATTCATTTCCCTTGGCTTAGGGAGATATGAAGTTTTGTTCATCTTGAAAAGTCTTTTTTGGGTGAAGAAATCTTAATATCTCCAGCAGGCAAAGGAAATAACTGTATAGTGTTAAAATTTCAGAATGATCAATCATCTAGAAAATAAGTGATTGTATCTACAAAAAACACCATACCATTATATTAGTGGAAAATTTGCAGACAAATAAAGATTATACAAACCATGCCATCCCATGGAATAGGGGAAAGAGACTTCAAACATGTTATCATATTTTGTCAACAGCTGTTTGGTTATATCTGCTAAAGCTGAAAAACAAAAAAACAATTTATTTATAAAAGTTATTTAAAATATAATTGCCTGTTTTAATAGTTATGTTGAAAACATAATATTACATGGACATGATTATAGTTGAGTGTAACATAAATATTACATGTCGTTGATTTTGCTGTAAATTATCTCCCTTTTATAAAAGTACTGGTATATCAAATACATGTAAAACTGTCGCTAAATTATTAAAATTACATGTACACAATAACTTTTTTTTAGAAAACATACCATTATTTTTTTGCTCAATTAAACAAGGTATAGAACTAATCACTAATCATATATAAGTAAAACTTTTTTATACCAGTGTTGCTGAAAAGTATGAGTTCAAAATTATTCCAATTTCAGAAAATAGACAGTAAATAACTAAAGAACAATCTTAATTATGCAGGGATCTCCATGACCTGTTTTATGATGGTGCACCGCCATTGTTAAATTATCTTCTGCCATCGTCAAATGATCCCCACCATTGTCAAAATTTGTTTTCTTTTTGCTAGCCGCCGCCATTTTTTTTAGCAATTATAATCAATTGCATGTAATTGCATAACCCTTATTGTATTATAATCCAAAGGGTCCTCCTGATTACAGTTGTAAAGCCCTGAGGGATATCCGGATAAAGATCGCTAGTCACTTGTACGGGTAGATCAACACACCCAACAGGAGAACACTTTATCAAGATAGACATTTAATTGCATTATTTATTTACGTTTCAGCAAATGCTAATGAAAATTTAGATTGAAAAATAAATTTTAAATCCAGTTACAAAGAAAAAAGTTTAACGAGTCAAACACGTGCTTTTATATTGACTTACACAATCAGCCTTTTTAAATGATTACAAAATAAGATGTAAAACAGAACATAATTTCATGCCAAACAACACGACTACAACAATTATTGATATTATTGAATCAATTTTAAAAGTAAATACATGAATATTAACTGCAACTTGATAATCTGAAGAAATTGTGTATCGTAATTCCGAATTCATTTTGTAGCTTAAAATCAAATTAATACATCTGGTTTACATTCAGAATCGAAAGATGCATGTTGCATAGTCTATTACTATAAAATTTGCAGTTTAAAGTCATTAAAACCATTTTAAGTTGTAACCGTTTGCCCTCCAAATCTTTATTCAACTTTTTACAAAACTGGTGCGAAACTTCTTGTTGGTAATGCTGCAAATCTTTGATACCGGACATGGTTCATGACTTCTGAATTTGACATTGAAAAAAAGATCCCTCCAATTTTTAAGTCCTAAACAATTACCAAAATAGCAAGAAAACGACTTGGAAACCTTTAGGACAGCTAGTGGCCATTCTTGACTAAACCGGAGCCTTGCAGGCTTGACACTGAAATTGTTACAAATGACAATTAATGAAAATATTGGTTATTCTATAATGAAATAAATATAATAAGCAATATATTAGTCTGTTCACCATTCCTTACATAGAAATGGAGGATTGAAATACTTTCCATCACGACACGCAGTAGACATGGGGTTTTGTCAAGATGAAAGTTCCTCCATCGTTAAATTTTCATCCATGGAGATCCCTGATTATGTTTCATTTATTTCATACTAACAACTGTTCACTAGCAATAAGCTAAAGTATTCTACCAGTTGACCAGTTTCTATACCTTGATGAATTCAAACTGATATTGGGTAAAATATATTTAGAAAATTAGCATTTTGAATGAACAAAGCCTTATTTGAATTTTCAAACTTCAACTAAAATCAATGCAAATCCTGTATGTAAGCTTTAATGATTTTGCTGTGGTGATCTATGTGCAGTACAGAAAAAAATCAGTAAAATTCTTGCATGTCCCTATTATTTTTTACTAAATAAAATATTTAGAATTATGCTATTCAAAGTTCACCAACTTTCAAATGAGATTTGATTGGTTGGTACATACAGAACACACACCATCTCTTTCTTCATTGGTTAGATCTTCTAGCCTAAGTACATGTCGTTGTGGTAATAGCATGGTTTCATATGGCCACACAGCCCAGTATGGTACAAGCCACACCCAATGATCATTCTGTAAAACTATTCTCTCCTGAAAACAGATTGTTTTAATAAAATATTACTGTAGATTCAGAAATTATTGTGAGGTTTTTATTAATGCGAATAATGCAAATGGGTGAGTATCGCAATAATCAGAACTCACATTTTGATAACTGAAACATATTTCTTTATGCAGATTTTTTTTTAATCGCAATAATTAAACTCACATTTTTGTCCATTTGTGAAAAATCGCAATAATAAATGCATGCAATAATTTCTGAATTTACAGTAACTGATATATATATACAATATATTACGGATTACAAATGTATCTAGTTTTGTGATGGATAACAACGCAGAGATGTCAGTTCATATTCAAGAAAAAACCTGTGTATATCTGATGTTTTTAATCCCAATTGAAAGCAGGAGGGGCAAACTAAGCAATGTTGGGGGTAGACCTTGTAAAAGGCCTATGCATTAACCATAAATGTAGCTCCATAAGGGCACACTGGGCCCCCTGGTCCTAAATACATCTCTGGTCTTAAATCTACATGCAAATAAAAGAATGTAATAGGCTCACAAAGGGTAAAAAGTTATGAGTATCCTCAATGATACATGATACAGAAAAAGTCACTTTCATACAAACAGTGCACTTGAAAACTAACTTTTAATTTAAAAAATATTTCTAACGTAAAAAAAATTAATGTCAAGATGAAAAAAAGAGTGCATTTAAGTGAAGTACATAGAATATACAGAAACATGCACTGAATGTATAAACTTCATGGTGAGTGTTTAACAAATACTTGGTACTGGAAATTACATTAAGGCAGGGGTAATCTGCAATATATGAGCATTAAGGTTTCAGACAGGGTATATAATAAATGTATATATATTCAAACCATTGTTTCATGTTTATTTACCACAAATACTTTCTTTTCATTGAATATGCATTCAGAGTGCATTCTTTCAAAGAGTGAAGCTTGATTTTGATTTATTTATTCTAGTGTTGTCGACGATTAACCTGTTAACCGTCGGAAGGACCGAATATTGAATACCAAAAACCCTAACCGGTTAACCAGACTTTTTTTTTAATTCTATCACCTCAGGGCAAGATTTAGATAAAAGTAACCATAATTAGCATGCATGTATTTTGAACAGTTGATTACATTTCACGATTTACTTCATTATTTCATTTTCATTTTTGATTTAATATTGCATACACCTACATGTAAATATGCCACCTCCATCGTCCAAGGTTTTGTCATACTTTAAATGAAATGCAGACTAAAAAATGGTAAAATGCAAATCATGTGAATGGCATTAATGTATATTTGGTGGTACGAGTAACAGGCTTAATCATCTCAAATTGAAACAATCAGCAGTTTCAGACAATGTCAACTCGACCAGATTAAGATGATATTCATCTTCTTAATCTGAAGTTACAAACTTCATAGTAGATACAGTAGAATCGGATGATTAAAAATAAACTTCACCAGGAACGCTCAAAGCCTAGCCTTATAATACCCAAGGATAGACTTCAATTTGTCATATCATAAAAACATACATTTGTAGGGTACTATAGATAAGGTCTATAAACATCAACTTAACTACCGGTTAATCGGTCGAAAGATTACCTGACTAACCGGATAGGCAAAACTGTTCAATTTGACAACACTAATTTATTCCAATGTCATATTCCTTGCTTAATATCAGCAGAAATGAAAAAAAAGACACACAAAACAGAGTACTGTTAAAGTGTCCTTGGTGTTGTTCTTCTACAATGTGCCCCAAAAGTTGGTAAACAACAAATGAACCATGGAATTAAAACATGAAAATAATGTGTTCATAGGACAGCATGCACCACTGGCACTATTACATTTTTTCATGTTCAGTAAACTGCAAAATCGTGGTTTTAAACCCTAACTTAACATATTTATTTAAAAGTTATATTCATAATAATTATGTGCACCAAGTTTCAAGTTGATGTGATCACAAAATACCTTCAACAAAAACTTAAACCTACCTGAAAACAAAACTTTAACCTGACTCGGACAAACATACAGATTGATGGATAAGTGCACATACAGCAAATCATTAATATGTAAGGTGGGGCATTAAAAAAAAGATTTGTTTATGTAAATAGATAAGAGACAACTTGCTTCCTTTTACAAAAGTTATTTATGATAAGTTTTGAACCAAATTTCGTTTTCTTCTTTCAAAGGAAAACTTCCATTGCAGATAACTGAATCTCTTAATAAGAGGGTTTTGGAAATTTCCTTATCTTGCAAACCTGTTGTAGTTTGTTTTATTTTTTCATCTTATCAAAGGGATTAAAAAGCTGTTTAAAAATTACACAAAACCATGGCATGTAGGCTGTCTCACAGGAAGTGAGGTCAGAAAAGAAATATCTTAATTCATAGCATCTAAGTTATAGCTATAATTTAGCAACATGGTGTGAAAATAATGGTCCAGACCTTAAGTAAAAAAATTTATCTCTCATACCTGTTTTTGAAGTTCTTTTTTAACATAATCCACTAGCATAGGCGTTCCATGTTTTGTGTAATACTGTTTTTGTGTTCTATTTTTTACCATTGGTTCATTAGGCAAGAAAGAACTAGCCCAAACCTAAAAAAAATTTTAAGAATATTACTAGTAATTTGAATATTAATTCAAAATCATTTTAATATTATTAACATAGAAGATTCACAAAGATTCAACATTGATCTTGCAAACACATAAAAACTCAGACTTGATTTTCATGTAAAATTATTTCCTTTCCTGTGGTATATAAAAATATGATGATATTAAGTAAAGTTGTTCCTAAATTTTACTTCTTCTTAAATCTGATCATATAAAACATAAATACAGAATTCAAACACTGATGCACAATAGTTACTATATTATAAACAGTAAAAATGACATTAATTTGGCTGAATTCCACATGAAGGGCATGTGACATAAAATGATTATTATAAATAGACATAAGTAAAGAAACAATAATGACCTTGCAAAACCCTCATGAGTAGTCAAGGTCGTTAAAAAACCCCCTCGTTGACAATAATGATATGTATAAGATAATACAGATATGTATTCAAATGAAATTCATTTAGTGGTTTAGGAGATGGTGTTTGCAATTACATCTATACAAAGGAGAATTCCACGATTTGAATGCTATATAGTATGGCAACTTTGAATCCTTCATAAATGCAGAAACTGAATCAATAAGGTGAGTTCATAAAAGGTTTAATGAAATGATTTGCAAGAACACAATTATAAATATATAATTATACAGGAATGTTTCAATTTGACTGCTTATGGGAATCAAATACAGGATGTACAATTACATTACAAGGTGAAGAAATGAATTAAGATTGGCTGAAGTCTGACGACGGCTGCCCTCCTATTAGTCAAAGCATGGCACCCTGGGTGTATGTATTGCCATGACGGTCCCATGAAGGTCCAACGCTGTAGCACCATCAATTTTTAGGGTTTGTTCAGCAGATTCTGATGAGAAGTGGTTCTCAGATTATTTTAAGGATTGATGAACAAATGAATATTCTGTACACATTATATGAGGGTCTAGATGGGGTTAACAGAATAGAGAATAATGGGCAAAAAATAAAGAATGGAGGAAAATGGTCGTAAAATAAAGAAAACAGAATAGTTGGGTGCTCACATATAAAGAGTAGAGAATAATTGGCAAAAATTATAAAGAATAAAGAAACTTGGCCTAAAAATTTAAAGAATACAAAAATAAAGACCCCCTTTCCAAATCCAGACCCTCTTATCCTTTTATTAACAATTATAACTCATGGAATATTATAGCAACAAATTCCATCTACACAGAAAGGTACATTATCTTTCAATGAAGATGAAAAATGTATCTTAAAATGTTTTCTGACGAAACAATATGGAACAATTATTACCTGGCAGTGAGGGTGTGGATTAGAACATCCGTTAATACTTCCTTTATTTTCAAAAATCTATAAAAACAAAAACATACATAAAAATATTAGAACTGCTATCAAATTTATAACCTAAATTAAAACTTCTGAACTATCAAATCATGGTTATGAATAAACAATAAAATGTTGAATCTGTAATGGTTTCAATTAAATAATCAAATATTGCATCTGTAATAATTTCTTATAAATACTTGAAGACATACCATACAGATCTAACAGATCTTAATGTTGATTTTTTCCTGAAATTTTTTTAACAGTCAATTTTTATATGCAAAATAGAAGTTAGCAATGAGATCATTCCTTCTTGATTTTCAGTTTTATTGTGGCATGTTGATGCTCATAATTTCATATTTCAATGCTTTTCCAAACAAAATGAGAGATTTTACCCAGTTATTGGCAACATTAGCACTCTATACATTTAAAGACATTTTTCACAAATTTTTAATTGATTATATTTCTAGAAGTATAAATGCTAAATATATCATTTTTTACGATATTCAGATGCAGTTAAATGAGTGATAAATGCATAAAATTTTTCAACCCACCGCATTTTTCGCCTGTCCCAAGTCAGGAGCCTCTGGCCTTTGTTAGTCTAGTATGTTTTTTAATTTTAGTTCATTCTTATGTTTTGGAGTTTAGTGTGACGTCCATTTTCACTGAACTAGCACACAATTTTATTTAGGGGCCAGCTGAGGACCAGCTGCGGGATTTTCTCGCTGCATTAAAGACCAATTGGTGGCCTTCAGCTGTTTTCTGCTCTTTGGTCGGATTGTTGTCTCTTTGACATATTCCCCATTTCTCAATTTTAAAATTACATAAAATTCAGAAATACTGTCTATTAACCTTCAAGTTTTTTCTTGTAGGTTTAGTGTTAATGGCAGCAGACCTTTGGTAGTCTCTGTATCCACACTTTGTTTTAAGTCTGAAATATAGCACAGTCACTTGTCTATTGTTGAAGACTGTATGTTGACCTCTAAATGACCTATGGGGTTTTATTTTGTGTTGTTGGCTTGATGACTAATTAAATTACTCTCAATATCTCCTTTCATAAATATGATATTTACCTGCACCCATGTGTACTTCTTGCCAAGATCTACATTGATCTCTGCCCACTTGTCAATCACAGCTCGTACCTCCTCTTTTGACATGATTGGCAGAGTGACATCAGAGTGAGGATGAAAACATATTACTTTACATGTCCCAAATCCTGCCGCTGCTTGGAATAAAGGATCATCACTTGGTGCTGAAAAATCAAATAAAAAAACACTTACTGTGGATTCATTTGTATTCTTGTACAGGATAGCAATATATACTTGGATTTTGTGGTATAGGTTAACAATGAAATTAAGTGTTCAACAAATAAGTTACAAATTTACAATTTCTCTATAGGTTTGTATATAAAATAAAGAGATGTGGTATGATTACCAATGAGACAACTATCAAACAGAGACCAAATGATGTAGATGTTTAATAACAACTATAGGTCACTGCACAGCCTTCAACAATGAGCAAAAAAACTCATCAAAGATAACAGGCCTATAATTTTGTACACCAGACTCACATTTTGTCTACAAAAAAACTGATCATTGAAGCTCATATAAAAAAAGTAAAAAGGCAAAATATAGTATGAAGTTGAAGAGCAATGAGGACTCAAAATTCTGAAAGGTTTTGCAAAATACAGCTAAGGTACTCCATGTATGCTTCTTTGCATACCTGCCAACCCTCCTGTTTTGAGCGGGAGTCTCCCGCGCAAACAACAAAATTCCGGAAATCTCCTGCTTGCCGGTCCACTCCTGCGCGGGAGTATAAAATCTCCTGCTTTCAGATATTTTGACCTGGAATAACCCGCGTTCGTAATTCTCTGGCTTTTTCATTACTTTCAACAGAAATAAATAAACATCGCCGATCATTTGAAAACTTTGGTCAGTTGTTTTTATGTTCAATATATAAATAATCGAAATTCAGTTCTGCTATGTCAACTCCAATAAGATAGAGGTCTTTGTCTGGACCAAGCGATAGTGTAAAAAAGAAAAAATAGATAACTGCAAATCTTAATGTCAAGCAGATTTGAATGAAAGATTTTCAATTTTTACGATCAAGTTCACTTGGCAATGAATCTTTTTGCACATCATGTTCAATCAAATTTTAGATTTCTTCTGGTGGTCTGTACGATGTTTGAAAGCATGCTTAGTGTGAGACTCACAACAAAATCAAAATATGGAATGTTATGAGTTATGAGACTTGGAGGTATTGAAAAAGGCTAAAAAAAACCACCTTGTATAGTTTATAACCATGAATTGAAGAAATACTGTATATTTATTCACTCTTATTGGTGTTTTGTAGATGAATACATAAACAGGTCATATATTTAACTTGAAAATGTCGTTCGCCTAAAATCTCCCCCTCAGCTGTCAGAGCTGAGGGGGAGAGAGCTGAGGGGGAGATCTCCCTCTTTGAGGGTTTCAGAGGTTGGCAGGTATGTATTTTGGCAAAACCACAAAATCAAATATCAACGAAAATACCATTTTACCTCAATCCACAAAAATTGGATGTTACAAAAATAAATGAATCCACAGTTAATCTTAATTCCTACTTAACAAAATTTTATTGCACGTGTAAAATTTTTTTAATTTTTATAGTTGCTTTAAACTTACAGCCTTGGTAATACTAAAAAGTTGGTTCATTAAAATGTAAAACCTCAAACAACATGATGTGTTGTGTCAATTAAATCCTTAGTATGCCTCCTAACCAGTGGGAATTGGATTTTCCTTGAAATTAACCAGAGTTATTCATCTTTGGCTAGTTTATCATTATTACTGAGATTCAAAAACAACAGTTTATTTCAACATTACGAACTAAAAAAATAGTAGAATACTTCATGTATTTACAAAAACAAAAGCGTCAGGAATAACTAAAATTTTGCGATTCTACCCATGTTCTACTTGAAGTATCCATAGCTATGTTGGTTGATCTGTCAGAACACTGGACTCAATTTGAAATAACACACCATTAAGGATTATCAGGCCAAGTTTGCATTCAATTTTTCCATTGGTTAAATGTCCATACATAGGAAAAGTTTTTTTTCTAATAACAGAAAGACCAAAACAACAACAGGCACCAAGTGATAGCAATTATAGCTCCCACTGACACTTTGTTAAGGCCAGGTAAATATCAAATTGGTGTTTTCTTATGTTTTGTGTATACCTGGTGCAGGTCCTTCCTCTAGTAATGCTGGAAAATCGTTTGTAAATACATATGTACTGTCATATTCTGGGGTAACCTGTGTTAATAAAACAAAATAATGTCCATAAAGAAAATTAGAATTATAAAATACAAGCATTCTGAGAGTATTGTATGGCAATACATAGTCCCCTACCGGTTAAGAATTCATTGTACTGGAACAAAATGCTAACTTGATCTATAACTTGTCCTGGTGTAAACTATATAACAAATATCAAGTCAATATCTTCAAGCATGACGAAAAAAAGTGTGGAAAACTGATACTTTGAGTGAATTTTTTAAGTCCAAGGACCATATGATAACTCTGCACGACATCAGACCCGAACAAAATTAGGACTTGATCTGTAACTTGTCATGATAAAACTATATACCAATTATTAAATCAATATCTTCAAGCATGAAAAAAAAAAGTGCGGAAAACTGATTATTTGAGTGAATTTTCTAAGTCCAAGGACCATAACTCTGCACAAACTCATCAGACCAGAACAAAATTCGAACTTGATCTGTAACTTGTCATGATAAAGCTATATACCAAATTTCAAATCAATATCTTCAAGCACGAAGAAAAAAAGTGTGGAAAACTGATTTGCCAGACTGACAGACGGACAGACAGACAGACAGACAGACAGAGTGCAAACCTAAAGTCCCCTACAACTTCGTCGGAAGGGGATTAATAAATACAGCGTTTTACTTATAATTATTTCCGAGAGCAGGAATTTGATTCATTGATTTTAATCATATGAGTTATTATCCTTTCTTGGAAATAGCACTTGTTCAGTACAATGAGGATCAAACGAAAGAAGTAGTGTTTTTGTCTCATTGGGATTATCTCATTGACATTTACCCCATATATCTTTCTTTATTCATAAAACTGTAAACTGCTTACATATCAAAATGTTTCCAGTGTTCTCATTGAGTTTTAGTTAGCAGTTTATTGGAAGGAAATTGATCTTAAGCTGTTTAATACAGAATTTATATGTTTGTCGCAAGATTTTTTTACACCAGAGTTATAATGGTATTGGAATACTGAATTAAATTCTTTTACTTTTCCATTTGGTCTGGTTACTCCTGGACAAAGAGGATTCTTTGGATCAAATCTGGGAACTTCAGATTCCTGGGGTTTTTCTACTTGTCCTTGCCATGGTCGCTTCATACGATGTGGAGAAACTGTTACCCATTCATCCTTCAAAGGGTTAAATCTTATGTGAGGATGTTCTGAAAAATAATATTGTTATTATAATCATTCATTTAATAAATAGTTTAGTATGTGATGTGGTATGGATTGTGCAGTGTTTTTGTGTGTTTTTTACTTTTCAAGATACAGTCTAGATTGGCAATGGGGGAGGTTTATGTGTATGTAAAACTGGTTTAACTTCATCACATTTTATACCTGTACCAAGTCATACTTTTCTTCTAACACTTAGAAGTAATGGTTAAGTTGACAGTATAAACTGAAAAGACGTCCCAGATGTTCTTTAGACAACTGCTTATTATATTTGGAAGATCATACAATTTAAGTTTACACATATCTATCAATTATTTTCATGCAAAAATCACATGATTTTGTAATTCTCCAAATTTGTTTTGTCAAATACATGTAGGGCTCTTCATGCCATTGGCGTTAACACTTATCCTAGGAAAATAAGTGTCAGACTTAGTTTCTAAGTAAAGAATTAAGATTTCCACAGAAATTATTTCTGCATATTTATTTGGTAAGAACACTAATGACATGAATATATTTTACTAGGAGAAATATACTATTTTGGATTTCTTATATATACTGAATACTTAATTAGTACATGTAGTACATTAATAAATTTCTTTTGGGATTCTGTGTCTGCAGTGATTTTCTGATTTGGTCGCCCTCAGAAAAAGCCTTCCTACACAGAATCCAAAAAGGAATTAATGATACATATGAGAGGGTTTGGATCACAGGCAATTCTCCTTGAAAAAAATTACCTATATATACCTTGTTATAAAGGATGATAGGGAAACAATTTCAGAACAAGTGTAACAGTGGATTCCTTCCACCAGTGTATTTTTTCCAGAGGACAAGTTACACTACAGCACTAGTGTATAATTTGCAGAAGAACTATTGTCCTAGGTTAGTTTTTCCATGTTTAGTATAACTTATCCTTTGTTTAGCTGTGAATTTAAAACACTCTTAAAAGTTGTTTTTTAAGGGTGTATGATTAAAAACAAAAAGGGCATGGCCCTTTTTGGAGGTTTAAAAAATATCAAAATCAGTAAGCAAGAAAAAAATGTCCATGTGGAAATTATACACTATTGTAATATATCCTGGAAAAATTGTACACAAATAAATAAAGGATAGTTTATGTCATCTGCATTTGGCTGAAGTAATGTATTCTTCAAGGGAAAAAAAACGACAGACACCAAGGGCGTGTTTCATTGGTCTCTTCTGTACATCTCCAGAACGTCTTCTGGTGAAGAGTCAAAAAAAATGAATCTGGACCTCTTCTGGAGATATTCTGTAGAAGAAGCAATAAAACAAAAAATCTATTTGCCGTCGAATATATCAGATTTTTTTATGTTGGATGACATAAATGAAGTTTACGATGATTAATTAGAAAATTAAGATGTGTTTCAGCATTGGTGTAATTATACAATAAGTGTAAAAACAAACAAAATTGGTTGGAAGAAATCGCTGTGTTCGTAAAAAATTTTTCTTTATACTTTACTAACTAAAATCTGACTAGAAGCGCCGACCATGTGATTTTAAAGAATAATCTTAAACTGTACAAGAATTTTTCAATATTTGTTTGGACATCTTGTCTATTAAATTTTTTAAAGTAAAGAACTAGATTATTTTTGCATATATAAAAGATATTGCTGAGTCCTCAAAATCTTTTTCCCTGGTGGCCCTTGAAGAAAATCTGCTGGTCCTAACTTTTATTTCTATTGCAAAATTCTGATGGTCAAAACCTTCGGACCACGACTTTTTGATTGTATATGTATACAAGGTATACATGGTCATGGCGTTTCCCAGACTGTTTATTACTAAATCCGTTGATTGTGTAATGATTGATACTTTAGTTTGGGGAACAAGATTTATTTGTTAGTTGTAATTGGCTTTGAACAAACTTTCAGTAACTGAAAATACTCTTATTTCGATGCTTTGTGTCTATTGTCATAATGTTAGTTGGGTTTTATTTATTTGTGTCTCTAATCTTTTGAGTTATTACTATTGCAACTGATTTTTATAGTTTGACTTTGTTCTTATGTTGTACAGTTACATCACTGTCCCAGTTTAGGGAAGAATTGATCGATCATAAACATGTTTAACCCTGCCATATTCTTAATGTGCCTGTGCCAAGTCAGGTGCATGAAGTTCAGTGTTTGTCTTTGGTTTATGTGTGTTGCCCTCAGTGTTGCCTCATATTTGATATTTGTAAATTGTTTTTGTTATATATAATAAGGCCGTTAGTTTTTTCGATTCAATTGTTTTACATTTTTCATGTCGAGGCCTTTAATAGCCGACTATACGGTATGGAGTTTTGTCATGGTTGACGGCCATACGGTTACCTATAATTCCTTATATCCCCTTAATTTGAAATCCAATTGATAGTTTTCTCATTGGCAATCATACCACATCTCCTTACTTTTATATTATATACCTGACTTTTAGACGCGTGTTTTTCCAGAAAATGCATGAAATATCTGTCCCTGGACATTAAAATTCAGCAACAAACTACCAATCATTTTAAACTCGTGTTGAATAAGGAGACAAGAGTGCACACGCTGAAATGTCTCGCCTTCTTTACTAATCATTGATATTATGTTGATAGTCCTAAATATAAAGCTTTATTACAACTGTCACATAAACTTAACATTAACCAAGTAAACTAAACATTGACCAATGAACCATGAAAATGAGGTCAAGGTCAGATGAACTATGCTAGGCAGGCATGTACAGCTAACAATTCTTCCATACAACAAATAGAGTTGACCTATTGCTTATAGTTTAAGAAAAACAGACCAAAACACAAAAACTTAACACTGAGCAATGAACCTTGAAAATGAGGTCAAGGTCAAATAAAACCTGCGTGACTGCCAAATAGATCATAAAATATTTCCATACACCAAATATAGTTGAACTATTGCATATAGTATAAGAAAAACAGACCAAAACACAAAAACTTAACTATAACCACTGAACCATGAAAATGAGGTCAAGGTCAGATGACACCTGCCAGTTGGACATGTACACCTTACAGTCCTTCCATACACCGAATATACTAGACCTATTGCTTATAGTATCTGAGATATGGACTTGACCACCAAAACTTAACCTTGTTCATTGATCCATGAAATGAGGTCGAGGTCAAGTGAAAACTGTCTGAAGGGCATGAGGACCTTGCAAGGTACGCACATACCAAATATAGTTGAACTATTGCACATAGTATTAGAAAAAAAGACTAAAACTCAAAAACTTAACTTTGACCACTGAACCATGAAAATGAGGTCAAGGTCAGATGACACCTGCCCGCTAGACATGTACACCTTACAATCATTCCATACACCAAATATAGTAGACCTATGGCATACAGTATGAGAAAAACAGACCAAAACACAAAAACTTAACTATAACCACTGAACCATGAAAATGAGGTCAAGGTCAGATGACACCTGCCAGTTGGACATGTACACCTTACAGTCCTTCCATACACCGAATATACTAGACCTATTGCTTATAGTATCTGAGATATGGACTTGACCACCAAAACTTAACCTTGTTCACTGATCCATGAAATGAGGTCGAGGTCAAGTGAAAACTGTCTGACGGGCATGAGGACCTTGCAAGGTACGCACATACCAAATATAGTTATCTTATTACTTATAATAAGAGAGAATCTAACATTACAAAAAATCTTAACTTTTTTTTCAAGTAGTCACTGAACCATGAAAATGAGGTCAAGGACATTTGACATGTGACTGACGGAAACTTCGTAACATGAGGCATCCATATACAAAGTATGAAGCATCCAGACCTTCCACCTTCTAAAATATAAAGCTTTTAAGAAGTGAGCTAACGCCGCCGCCGCCGCCGCCGCCGCCGCCGCCGCCGGATCGCTATCCCTATGTCGAGCTTTCTGCGACAAAAGTCGCAGGCTCGACAAAAACCATTTGCTATTTTTTTTTTTTTTTTTTTTTGGTAGGGATGGGGGACATGAGGATTTTGAAAAGGAATATGGAGGCCTAGTGTGAGCTGAAAATAGGCATGGCATGCTTAGGGACATATTAAAATGTATAATAAATCCGCAAAAAAATTATCCTGCTCCCTTCCCCCCTCTCCAGAATATAAAAAAGTTGTCCCCTTACTTTGATTGTTCATGTAGTTTTTATATTTATCCAGGTTATCGTCCCTACAGGGATGTTCTAAGGCTGCAATACCATAAAAACGTTAATCACACAGCACACATTCTATTATATCTGAATTCATAAATTTATTAATGTTGTTTAGACTAAACGACGCCATGTTTGTTATATGCCTCTGCCGTCTAAACCACCTATTTAAAAAGAAGAGATAGGAGAGGAACAGAAGATCTTCCCAATGCAAAAAAATAGAAATGGACCTCTTCTGGCTCACTACCGAAAAACAAAAAAACACGCCCCAAGTAGTTAAGGATATAACTTAAGGTTCATCATAACAAATGGACAACAATGGCTGTATTTACACCTCAAAAACTACTCTGAGTACAGACTAACCTGTCCACTCAGTTAGACCCTTTAACTCACGTATAGTTGTGTAGATATCTATTGTCTATTCCAATCAAGGACAATCAATACATTATACAATACAGTTGTTACCTGAGAGGGAACATCTCAAAGATGTATCCCAACTTAGTTTATTTTAACACCATCTGCAGGAACTAAAAAAAATGCCCATCAAAATCCAAAAAAGATTTTATCTTTCTGAAACACAAAATGCATTTAACTTTTATATATCTAGTGGATACCAGGCCTTAAAACTTTTCAAACTGGACAGGTTAGTCTGTACTCAGAGAAGTTTTTTGAGGTGTAAATACAGCCATTGTTGTCCATTTGTTATGATGAACCTTAAATAAGTTTTTAGAAAAAATAACATACATGTGTTATTACAGATACTTTCATGAGTTGTCTACTCTTTGTTTCTAAAATTTTCTTAATCTGTAGTGACATATGTCATGTATGTTTGTTATTTGCTAAATAAATCAGAAAATTTTTTATTTTTAGTTGGCACTTGGGAATGCTTGAAACTTTGCGCAGTAACTTAATACATAGCCTTGATAACTAATTCTCCAATTAAATTATTACATTTTTTATCAGCTATGGTAAATCAATAAACGTATTTACACTTTTGGTATTTAGCTATATTTTGCCTCCGAATGACCTTAGATCGACCCCGAATCACCTTTTGACGTCAGGCTACAATCACTTTTTAATTGTGACGTCAAATGTTTTGAATTATGATGTCAAAGTTTACGGGAACCTGTGTGATTTTACGTAATGGCAGACAAATTTGCATACAAGTGTAAATACGTCTATGACACAAGGCTTTTAAGTGATAAACTTAGATGTAACATATAACATTAACCCTCTTAATGCCAAAGCGACATATATGTCGTTTCAGTGTTGATGCCAAAGCGACATATAAGTCGTTTGGGGGTTTGATGCCAAGGCGACATATATGTCGTTTCAGCAATATTACAATAAGTATATATTATAAATCAAAACTTTGCAACCTATACTACACTAAATAATTAATGCGTTATAACATTGTTGACCATCAGTCATCTTAGTGTATTTTGGAGCAATGACGTAATATCCATGACGTCATTGTGACGTTATAATTATGGCACAAGTAAATTGAGTTTTCTTTCTCTGAAAAAAAAACCCGTCTTCCAGCGGCAAACGACAACGTTGGTTTTTATATTTGCATGCACGCACATGACACTGATGCTGACGATTTAAAGATTGACATAAGAGCTGGAAACACAAGATAATTGAACAACAAGACCGGGCCGCCCTTTTTTTGGCATTGTAACTTACCAGACTAACATAATATAAAACACTTTATTAACCGCATATCCGACATATTCGTCAAGCTGTGTTGAAAAGTACTTTAGAAAGTTTCGCACATTACGTATGTTCGAATAGTAATGTTTATGTGTTTACCCTCTCAGTCCGAAACGGGAAATCGGTCCACCCATGACAGAATCATGGCCCAAGAGAACGCACAGTTAGGACTCGCTAAATATCAAAAGAATATTGAGATTTGGAGTTGTGAAAATTTAGAAGAACACTAATTTTAAACATGGAACTCAACAGAAATTCCCTAACATTGTCGATAAAATACACACTGCCAATGCCTACAGTTTCTTATCTAAATTGAGTTCCTTTTACCCAAATGGTGTTTGACTGATAAGCGACAAATACTTTACTTTAATTTGATAAACAAAATTTCGTATTTATTAGTTTTTGATAATTGAAATTTAACCATGTTTTTAACTCCTTTTGATGTTTCAAAGTGTTCCTTATTATTGCTAGCTGAGTTCCTGTCGTGAAGGAGGAAAGGTTTAATTCCATTTTTTACAAACATATATTTCGTGAACTTCGACTGTTTTATTTGTGTGAACACCGCAGGAAAAATATTTTACAAACATTTTAGAATGAAATCGTGTCATTAAACATTATATGGTGCATTATTGACGGACAATTTCAGTCGGCTTCACATAGTTGATAGACGAAATATTTAATTCAAATTTTAAGTAAAGCTATTTTAAAACTGAATTTACGATTAATTAATTGCATGTCATTTAGTTCAGTGACCAATATTTTATACTTATAATATAAAAATAAGGGAATGTGGTATAACTGCAAATGAGACAACAATAAACCAAAGTTGAAAAGAAGTGGATGTCAGCAGTATTGCAGGCAACCGTACGGCCTTCAACGATGAGAAAAACAATACCACTAGTCGCCTATAGAAGGCCCCGAAATGAAAAATGTGAAATAATTCAATTGAGAAAATTAATGACCTAATTCATAATACTACATAAGGTCTTATTAAATATAGACTAGACTGTAGTGAAAAACCTCATCTCTAATACTATATGGCTTATTCATACTCATGTTCAAGTATAACACACAACTTTTTAATCATTTATTGAAATCAAAGAGCTGAAAGCTCTGAGGAAAAATGACGCCACTGTCTCTAATATTGTGATATTTTTTATGCAAGTCTTGATTTTCACATACCGTAATTAGTTTAACATTCCAACATGTCTCGCAAGCATATAATTGATATTCGTATATGTGTGTGTTATGTGAAGATGACAACTGGCTGTTTTTTTAGTACAAATGTATAGGTCAACTCACTGAGTGTTCTCCCCAGGATTTTTGGATAGCACCAGGGTAACGCATGTGAACAGCTTGGTGAAATGATTCATACAATCAGTTGTGTCGCATGGCGTCGCTATATTTCTAGTTACTGCAGTTTTTATGTCTCTTGTTTTGTTTAATACTGTGGTACTGTGTTATGTCAGAATATTATTGGTTAAAAAGATCAATAAACAGTTTGTATACTTTTAATATTTTTTTAAAATAAATAAAACATGATTCATTACATAATATTCATCTAAATTTAAAGTAATTAAATCTTTTATAAAATTCATGATCAATAAAAATAAAATATCATTCAAACAGGAACATATATATTGTTAGATATACTGTTCCCAGATTCAAAAGAGAACAAAAATGTTCAATTTAAAAAACTTTCTAGTTTCTGGAAAGAAAGTTGTTGTATGTGAAAGGATTCCTGTCATAGGGAGATATAAAATTAACAAGAACAAAATTGTGTTATAATTTGAACCAGTTTCTATCTTAAATTTTAATAAAAAGAAATTTTTCATAAATTTTCAAACATTTTGCCATAGATTTCCTTTACATGTAAATATTAACCTTTCTTGTCTTTGGTGATAATCAAACATAGATATAGACTTCATACTGCACTGAAATCTAAAATCTTTATTTGTCATGATCCATTTAAAAAGAATTCCTAAATCTATAAATTTATCTTAGGTCTATAGATCTATAAGTAACCATATTCAATGTCAACAACAAAGTCTCCCCATTTTCCCGCCTAAATGACAGGAAGTAGATATAAATAGATTTAACATGTGCTTATGGATTAAAATTGCAAGATCACTTCTGTTATTCATTAATGATCATATGGATATAGATATCCAGTTTGAAGGTACAGTCATGCATTTTATTTATAAAATAGAATAGATTGCAGTTAATTGTAAATAATCTTGAATATTCTACGTGAACTAACTGGGTCATGTGATCCTTCCCCTTTGAATTACTTGTTGACAGTTTGAAACCGGAATATCATGCAATAATTATGTCATAATTAAAGATAATGTTGGCCATGGTTTAATCAGAGACATATAAAACTATAATATAAGTATTGAGCTAACTTTATAATGTACAAAATATGAACCGTCTTGTGTACAACTATCGGGTCAACACGGTTTGTGTACAAAGTATTTGCCGACTTTCCAGGTGGTGACTGAAGCCTTAAAATAGTTATCTTTGATCATAAAGTTATGATCTCTAAATTAAAACACAAAAGAATCATGTAAAAAGTGTTAATTACATCGATTAAATCCAATCAACAAAGGTTAACCTCATAAAGGTAAATCGATCACGTGGTGTAACAATCCGTGTTGAACTGGTTTGAACTGGTCAAATTTCACCTGGAATTTTATACCGCACGGAAAAGATTCAACAAGTCGTTTAAAACTTTACCGATTTACGATTTTTTAACTGATAATTTTAGCACCACGGAGAAAAATTATACATCGCGGTAAGAACGATACCACCACGGTAAAAAATTATACATCGCGGTCCTTTAAGGGCCTGGGGAGAACACCGTGACAAGACTACCTGAATGATCTACAGTATCCAATGACTACTGGCTGTTTTTTTCTATAAATAAATAGGTCAAGACTACCAGAATGATCTACAATATCCATTGACTACTGGCTGTTCTTTTGTACTAATAAATAGGTCAAGACTATTTGAATGATCTACAATATCCAATGACTACTGGCTGTTCTTTTGTACATATAAATAAAGACTACCTGAATGATCTAAAGTATTCTAAGTAATGTGATTTTTGTCTTACAATTACATTTTTCTAAATCAAGAATATCGACTACTAGCATCCTTTTCAAACCAAATGATTATGAAGAGCCTGTTGTTATCAAGCTCTTATACCCCACATACTCATTAAATAAGTTACTAGTGACCTAGTTATTTCTGTTACTTGAAGCAAATTATATTTCTGTAGATTTAGACAATAGTATAACATTGTTTTACTAGTTTTATTTCACCTTGAAGATTAGACATTAGGGATACTCCTTTGATTTTTTATTTCATGTCAGTCAGGTCGCTTTATATGAAACTTGAAACCACTTCTCTGCCATATTGTTATTTCATAACAACTCTGCCCTTGACCATGTTGACCGATGTAATTGATATTCATTCTTTAACCATATATCATAGTCAGTTAGTTTTTGATTTTGCACTCCCACACCACCTTTCAGGCC